AAAAAAAAAAAAAAAGGCAGGGTCCATTCTGTAAATGCATAAAATAATCAATTCAACAAATAAATGGTTTTCCATGTCTGACAACAAAATTGGACATAGAAAAAGGTACAACTGGAATTCAACATTTTTACAGATAATTCTCTAACATGACTTGTTATAACAATCCTTGATTTTACAGGCACCAGATTCGTTTTGGAATATACAATCAAATATGTAGTTAAGCTTTTCTGCAACTTGCTGAACTCTGCATTATGTCCACGTCACCTGCCTTTGTCGGACAGATTAGCATTGTGCTCCAAGTAGAAATGTGCGACGCATCTCCAAAAATCCAAGAGGTCTAGAGAAGCACCTGGGTTACAGATTCGGTGTAGGTGCCAGGCATTGCTCATTGCTGCATCAATCATATAGTTTACTAAAACTGAGTACCATTTCTTGCTTCTTATTCTCACTCTGTATTTGGAAATTACTTGATCCATTTTAGCTACACCTGCCCTGCATTCATCATACAGTTTCATCATGGAAGGCTGATGGATCTGAAGGCTCTCTTCACCACCAGCAAAATAACAGTTTATTTCATTCACTGGCTCTATGCCTATAGCGCTGGAGCACAAGCTGATTATACCATCACCATGCCAACGACACAAGATGATCTCATCATTTTCTTCTACTTGGAAATCAAAATAACCCTTCCTCATTCTTTTCATGTGTTCTGTGCTCATAAGAGGACACTGTTCAGTCCTGTTTTCACGAATTGCTCCTGTTGCTCTCAGGCCCTTCTTCTTCAAGGCTGATACCAATTTGACGCTTGTAAAGAAGCTATCAAAACAGAGGTGATAAGGATATGGACCTCTCTCTAAAAGAACATCAGCAAAGGTCATCACTAGATTCCCACCTAAACCAAGATCAAGATGTTGATCTGCCTTCACAGCTGATTCTTCTTGATAGGGCTCAAACCAAACCAGATAGCCCTTTGTGGTGGTACCGCACCAAATTTTATAGCCAATCCTAATAGGCTTTCCATTCAGAAACTGGTCACTATCAAAGCATTCACACATGGACTTCCCAAAGCTATAGTGTTCTTCCAGGGGTGCGTACATGAGGAAGTTTTTATTCATCTGCTTTATGAGAGGCCTCAATTTTGTAAATGCATCTTTTTGGTCCAAGTGGCTATTATCTGCAAAATGTAGATATGAGAAGATCAATTCAAATCTGTCCCTTCTAATTGCAGCCCTAACCAGATTCTGATCGGTATCAGAGATTTCCCAGTATATCCCTCTTCTAGGATGTCTTACAAATCCACTCAAAAGCAGGACACCAAACACACATTTCATTTCTGGGACTGTGACTTCCAAGTTGACATTTTTCTGAGAAGCATAATTATTGGTTTCACTGACAATCAAATTGAAAGTGTCATCATCAAAAAACAATTCAAAGAGCTCGATTGGGTTCAACTTCTCATGCTTGAGATTCAAAAGTCCAGAATCCAGTGCTGACCAGCTTGGGAAGCTAGGATGAATGTCTCTTTTGGTCCAGTTCTTCTCTGGGACACTTGACATCTTTAGCTTCTTCTGACACTGCTGGGTTTCAGGGTCATTTTCTTCCTCCAAATCTGAGTCACCAGAAAACGCAAGGCCTTGAAGCAGTTCTCTCACTCGAGCTTTGTCTTTTTTCCTTCCTTTGTGGGTGATGTCTCCTGCAGCATATTCCATGGATGAAACGTGCATCCGGGCCCACAGGTCACCGGGCTGGTGGTCCTTCACAATGTTCAAAGTTGGAACTGCACTCTCAGGAGGTACCGGAGTACTACCGGAGATCTGGGATATACATTCCCTAGGGAAGAAAAACAGAGCACATGCTATAAGATCTTCGG